CACACACACACACACACACACACACACACACACACACACACACACACACACACACACACAAACATTATTTCCCCTACGCCAACATACCAAATGCTGAATATTTTCTTTTGACCTCCTGAGTGTATTTTTTTGCTAATTTAGCCTCATCATAAGACATGGAACCACCACACATATAAAACAAACCATTTTTAATCCGAACGTGTTTTATCTGCTTGACTTTGGACACACCTGGGTGATACACTGCCCACGTCCTTGACTACATTTAAAACATCACTATCACTTCCTTTAGTGACGTTGAGAGATTGTAGCTAATTCAGAAACGGTTTTACCTTTTTTACCTTCTACAACACTTTGTTTTGTTTTTTTTGGTGGTGACAAAGAAAGGAGCAAAAAAAATAGTTGTATCATTTAATACTGCATATCGATCCGACTTTATGTAACCAAACAATAACAGATTCATGTTTTCAGCTTGAACAGAGAACAAAATGTCAATTTTACTTCCTTATCTATTAACCACAATAAACTGTTTCCATTGTTTAAAGTGTACAGTCATTGTGTTCCCTTCCAGTCACCGAGTATAAAACTGTGATCAGTGAAGAGGAAATGAAAAAGAAAAAWCATCTTCGGAGTGGTTACAACTCAAACAGTCTGCTTTAAACGTGGCTGTTATAACACACTTAGTAAAAACTGTTTGAAATATAGGCATGTCTCTAAGTTTTATTGTAGACCTCCTATAAGCCTGAAGGGAATCGTAAGCCTGTGAAACCTTGTTCTTCCAGGATATTTAATGAATAATTTAGTTTAATTTGACACTACTGGTGTCAAATTAAACTAAATTATGTCTGTTATGGCCATAACAGAATTTCAGAAGAACCAGGAGCAGCATTGTTTTTATGGGTGTCCATTGATCCCCCATGCACCCCTGTTTGAAGTAGATGTGGTGGTCTAGTTCAGCGTTTCCCAAAGTTGGGGTCGGGACCCAAAGTGGGGTCCCGAAACATCAAGGCGGGGTCCTGAAAATATTTTAGGAATTAATTACATTTGTGCCTTAGTTGTTACAAAGGAGTGAGGTTAGTGTATTTAAAATGGGTAAATTTAGTATAAAAATATTGTTACTATG